CCGCGCGAAGTCTTAGAGCCTAAGTTTTATCATTTTTAAAAAAATAAAAAATAAAGAATTAGCACTCGCAACGCAACCTTTACCTTTTGTCTGCCTCTAAATAACACCGCGTTCTCCATTTAGTCTATTTTGAGTATTTTCCCTTCAGCTGTCTGTAAGCCATTCACTTTTCTCTCCCGCCCCGTTCCCGCTCCCGCTGCCGCTCTGTTAATTCGCTTTATTTGCATCCAATCTTTCTTTCATTCTCTTAAATTCGTCTACTTCTAATTCTTTTATCAGACTCAATTTTGTGTGTTCGAATTTATCAAATTTGTTTAGATTGATCCAAGACATGAAAGGACGCTCGAGCAAGAAGACAAAGAAGGCATCGCCGTCGGCAGCCGGAGATCAGCAGTATGCCAAGGGATTAAGCTCGTACAAGGCCGCTTGCAACCTAGATGTAGATTTGCAGACTTTTGATACGACGCTGCAAGCGCGGACTAGTTGCGTGATCAACACGCTCGCGGACGGCTTGGAGGTACGGGCGCCTTCGTTAGATTCGCTCAAGGAGGTGATGGGATGTCTTCGTGAGATGAACCAGGAGGTGGTGAAGGTAATCTTGAAGTGCAAGGAAGATGTGTGGAAGACTCAGCAGCTGTTTGAGCTCGTTGAGGAGTATTTCGACAACAGTTTGCAGACTCTGAATTTCTACAACGCCTTGGAGAAGTGCCTGCAGCGCGCTCGCGATAGTCAATTGCTCATCCTCGTCGCACTGCAGCAGTTCGAGGAGGAGACGGAGGTCGGAGGGAGTCGGTATGTTAGGACGCTGGAGAAGCTGAAAATTTTCAAGGAGGCAGGGGATCCGTTTACAGAGGAGTTCTTCCTGATGTTTCAATCGGTTTATAAGCAGCAGATGCTGATGTTGGAGAAGCTGCAGCAGCGGAAGAACAAGCTGGACAAGAAGCGCAAGCGCATCAACGTGTGGAGGAAGGTTACGAGTATGATTTCTCTCTGGAAAATTTGTGAAAATGCATTGAAATGGCAGAAGGAGGTGATTAGTTCAATGCAGGCAGGAAACTATGTTGCCATTAAGGATCTGGATAACATCCGAGTACTGATCGATCGGCTTGAGATTGACATTGCAGCTCTGTTACAGAATGCAGATTTTGCAATTGAGGAAGAACCTGTGAAAATTGTGATAGAAGAGATCAAGAAGAAGATGGAGGTGTTTATGAAGAATGCGGAGAATTTGGGGGCACAAGTTGATCTCTGCAGCAGTGACATTAGGGAGGCAAGGAGGGTGGTTCTGCAGAGGATAATCAAAAACCCCAACGACTAAAAGATGGGAAGAACATCAATGGATAACTGCCGCTAATCCCCAAAAAACTCAACCAGCTTCACACAGTGATGATGGTGATGATGAATACAAAGTATGCCGCAGGTCCAGCCACACATCATGTACATATTCATGGTTTTTTGTTCTAGATCTGTAGAGGAATAACTGAAGACCTTCATTCAGATTCACCCCTGTTCTTTGTAGGAATTGTAATAATGTTTGGAGATTGAACTCCTTATTTATTCACTGAATTTTTTCCTACAGAATTGTTTCATATTTTCAAACAACTTGACTAAGCTCTTGTTAGTTATTTCCAAACTATTGAATACAGTAAATTTGTGCAAAACTGAAACCTAGATACATACAGTATGTATAAAGTATACTTTTATAAGGTGCCAAGTAATGAAAGCAGGCTTAAAAATCTACCTAAGATTCAACTGGAT